CCGGTGGCTTCTACAATGGAAAACGAGCTCGACTTTGAGTTTCATGAAGCAACGGCATGGCCAGATAAGCCTTCTACGACCCAGGCGCGGCCCCAAACTCCGATACAGGGGAATCACGACACTTCTGGTAGTGCATTGAGCGGTGAAATTGCTCCAACCGGTACGATGCCCAAGCCGTCACCGTTGGCAATGGCTGAAGTCGCTGGCTTCGCGGCGTCTGATACGCGCTGGGGGATCCATCAAATCAAAACAGGCAGTTTCACCAGCGTTGAATCATCCAAGTCATCCACACAGCTCTGGTGCTGGCTTGAGGAGAGTAAATCTCTCAGGTATATGTTGCTCAGTGACATGGAGTGGAGATGCGCAGAATATCCCGTTGATTTTGACGTCCAGTTGGAGGATGTCGCTACAGTGAGAGCAAGTGCGCAATCATGGCGAGTTCGTCTGGTCATGAAGGAGCATGTCGCATCTGGGCAGCATAAACCGTCGAGAGGAGATGTTATGGTTGTTTTTGAAAATCGGGAGACTGCGCACCATTTTTTGCAATTTTGTCACGATCAAGACATACCTATTTCTGAACAAGAACCGTAAGTTCAAATTGAGCCTAAGCCTAGTCAGGCTTTCCGCGAAGCTAGTTCTCTTGGGTAATATTTATTGGCTAATAATGGGCTCTGCAGGCCGGCAATGGTTACCGAGTGGCGAAACATGAAGTCTGTCTGTACCTTAACAGATGACCATTAACCAAAAGAATGGTGCGGTCAAAAAGCGTTGGTCTAGGGCGAGGGAGTCAGTAGAAGAGACTTTTAAAACACTGAAAAGTCAGAGGTAAGCGGCATGGACGAGAGAGTCATGCCACACAGACCCCAACACCCCCGCGACATGACGCAACAGTAATCCATTTGTTTCACCACATCTTTACATATTGATTGGAAAATACGCCAAATTGATATGGACATCAGGCAATGATAGTTTTTGACATGTAAAATACATAGAAGGTTCTGACGTCAAAACCCTTGGCCAGATAGGTAAATTACAGTTAGGTAAATTACTTCAACGGAACCCTACTTGAAGCAGTGATTCAGGCAAGGGCCATGCTCTTGAGAGCGCTCGGATGAGCGATACTACTAGAGGGTGGAAATTGCTGAACAAGGGTTACATAGAAATACTCATTATTCATGGAAAAAAAATAATGGCCTGGTCCTTCGCTGCCTTGTACATCGCCAATGGCAAAGTTGCCTCTGCCAACTTTTACCTAGGCCGCGACATTCACCAGCCAAAGATACGAAGCATTACTCAATTAATTTTTTTTGTTTGGCAAAAAGCCCTTTTCTACACGGAGCTAACAACTACCGGTAGAAGCAGC